ATTATAAATAAAAAAGATATCCAACTTACTTCTTACAAGTTACAGCTCTGTTTTATCATTTGTATAGTGCTTGCAGTGTTCACTGTATTTAAAGAGCTGAAAGCACTCATCAATGTTGCTTTAAAGCAGGGGTCTCGAAACTACAGCCCACGGGCCACAGCTAGCCTACCTTGCCTTTTTATCTGGCCCAGCGAATGTTGTAGGCTCAGGTCTGTTCCCTTCAGCCTGCGTGCATGGCTGTGTATGCGTGGGGGAGTGCATGCAGGTGGGTGGACATATGGGTGTGCATATGTTCCTTTGTCCTTTGAAAATGTGGAAAATCTATGATGTGAACCTCATGCTGAAAAGTTTGAAGATCTCTGACTTAAAGTAAAATAGTTCCAGTGACTTCCCCCCCAGTGCAAAGGATATAAAACTGGATACTGAAAAAGAAACACACTTAACACAGATTGAAAAAAGATCATTTTTATAGTTAGTATCCAAAAAACTGATAGAACTTTGAAAAATAAAGCTCGAGACACTTTTTGCTTTGCCACCCTAGCTCACAACAAACAGTATGTTTTTTTTAAAAAAAACACAGGCACTAAATTCAGCTTGTCATCTGCAGCTCCTCTTGGTGCCCTCTCAACTCAGTGCCTTGTGTGAATGCCCAGCTTGCTACCCCTACATGTGCTCAGATTGCCATCTTACCATCAAATTTTGATTCCTTTGTTTATACTCCAACAAATGAAGAACCTTGAGTATTCATTCTTTAAATGTCCTCAAATCACAAGGGAGGAGACACATCTTGGTTGGTTACTTGGTTACTGTCTGTTATTGCCTTAGAAAACCAGACTGGAAACAAATTGCTTGAGGTACATGGAAGAATAAAATGAATGGCATATTAAAACCATTGCAGGATGATAGTTTGAGCCCTAAAGCTTAGCTATACCGTGGTTCCCCGCATGATGACGACCCCAGAGAATGATGAAACCGCATGACGATGCCTTTTTGCAGTTGCTATAGCGATTCGCAAAACAGGCATTTCAATGGGGGAATTCCATTTGACGACGACTTGGTCCATGCTTTGCAGACCGTTTAATCGCAAAACGACGGTCTTTACAGCTGATCGTCAGCTTCACAAAATGGCCTCCCTGTGAGTGGGTTCTCTGTCTTTAAGGGGCTTTTCCTTACTTGGAGACACGAGGGAGGATTCAGAAGTATTTAACAAAACATTTTTATTGATAAGATCACTTGCCATTTCTTTGTTACTAACATTTGAACCATGAACAGACAATGAGGGAGGAGAACTCTCCCAGAACCATAATAACGATTTATCTTCATCTAACCCTTTTAGTAGTAGGTTCTTGTTTTCCCTTCCTCTTCCGTGGGTAGTCTCAGAAAACTGTTGCGAACAGCGCACAGGGTCCCGCAACAAGGGTGGCGGGCTCAATCCCCCTCTCTCGATATTTCCTTCTCCACTTCTGGGGGAATGTAATGCACTATCCGAGCAGGACCATGCTTCTTCGGGAAGACCAATACGGTCCATTCTTCGGGGCTCAGACCGGGAATGATTGGTCTTGTCGTGCCGGTCTTCCCCTCCTCACTTCCACCTTCTAACAGGGCTTGGGCAGATCTCTTTACTGGAACTGAGAAGGCTTGACTATCTGCTCTCTTTCACGGTACACCTTGCTTCTCGCACCTTCCCTTTCCTCTCTCAACCGTTTCAACTGACTTTCTCTCACGCGCCTCTCCTCCTCGCCCGCGCGCCTTTCCTCCTCTCGAGCTTTCTCTACTCTGCCCGCGCGACCTTACTTTATCTCCTCTGCTTGTTCTTTTATTCCTGGCTTCACTGATATCTCTGACTCCACAATAACTATCTGAGGGGACGGCTCACTACTTGCTGTTTCTTTACTCTCCTCCTCACACTCCCGCTGTTTTCCGGACCCCTGCTTTGGAAGACAGTGATTAAAAACAGCTGATAGGCGCTCGCAAAATGACTGCCCTATGGAGGATCTTCGCTGGATGAGGAGGTAATTTCCCCATTGGAACGCATTAACCGGTTTTCAATGCATTCCAATGGGGAAACTGTTTTCGCATGACAATTTCGCTGTACAGTGATTTTAACGGAATGGATTATCGTCGTCATGTGGGACATCACTGTACATGGCTTCAGCTTCAGCAAGCCACTGCATCAATTTTTCTTAGAAGTATCTTTCTAAGTGTAGTGTTAGAATAGGTAGTCATCTTAATCGGTGCTAGTATTTTATCCAGAAACAAAAGAAAAGGACAAAAGAAAAAAGGTTATGGCATCTGAAAGACTGCTGTAATGTGAGCTTTCATGGTCAAGTCCACTTCCACTAAGCACAGTACATGTTTCTTGGAGTGCTTTCAGTTCCCACTTTAATACACACTGTTGATACTTCTACCAATAACCAGTGCACTAATTTAGGTTTTTTTTTGGGGAGGGGGTACCCACAATCCAGATGTGAACTGTACCAATCCCCTCCACCACAGTGATCCCATAAATGGATCATATCTGCTATCAGGGATCAGCATAGGTGAGAAAGGGTTTAATTAATTATATGTGGAAGACCTGCTGTGCTCAGCAGCTGCGTGCATGGCATACTCCCCTAGGTACATCTGTTCCCTTGTCTTGCAAACACTCTTACACATTTTGTTTAAAAGCCCTACCCTGTTTTAACTCGAAGAATCTCCATCAAGGATAAGATTTATCTTGACGGTTTTAAAATATTTGGGTTTCATTTAATTAGGCCTTAATCTGTTGTACTCGACTAGTAAACCTCTAGAGATAGGTTGCAAGATGTCCTTCAGTCTTACTTTTATATCCTGCATCCATTTTAGAAAATGAATGGAATGTACAGTAACTCAGATACAGCACTAGAACTTATAAAGCAATACTGTACGTTGTAATTCTGAATCTGAGTGACACAAAAGAAAACACTGAAACTCAATAGCTTTGAGACAAAAAATGAGAGTTCTTCCATGAAGTAGCCGACTATAATACATCATCTAAGAGAACCTGCACAGCAGGACTATTATTTCTTCCTTTTGTTGTCTGGAGACAATTTTTTTTACTGTGTCTAACACATACTGATCTTAGAGTGTCAGATCAGAGAGCACTTTTAAGATTCCTACAGCTACAACTCTGTTAATAATCTGGAAATACACACTTAAGCAAAGTGTCTATGCTCTGATGATTTAGGCTGAGTTGTGCTTTCCTTTTTTTCCTTAGTTCAGAGAAGAAAGTCACTCTCACTATAATGTGGACCTTGAAATGCTTGCAGACTTATAAAACGCCTAATGCAGCAGCATTGATTTCCAAGTTACAAGAAACCAGATTTCAGTTGAATATCAAGAAAAACTTCTTAACTGTTGGAGCAGTACAACAATGGAACCAATTGTAGTAAGTCCTCCATTGTTGGTGGCATTCAAGAGAAAAATGGACATCCATCTGTCAGATTTACTTTGATCGAATGCATCAAGCAGGTGATTGGACTACAAACTCTAAACTCCAAATACCCAGTGTGGTGTAGTGGACAGAGTGATAGACTAGGACTCAGGAGGTTTGAATCCCCGCTAAGCCATAGAAATTCACTGGGGGAATGGAAATAGCAAAACCACTCCTTAAACATCCAACTTATTTTGAAAGCCCTATTAGTTGCTACGTGTCACATCCAGCTTAATGGCATGTAACAGCAACAAACTCCAAAAGCCATATTAAAGAAATATATTTATTAGAACTACTTAAAATATAACAAGAGAGGTGTTACAAAAGGAGGCAGGAAGACATAGGGAAAGAGGCAAAAAAGGGGGGATGTAAGAACAGACTAGATCAGTGATGGCAAACCTATGGCACGCATGCCACAGCTAGCACACAGAGCCCTCTCTGTGGGCACATGAACCATAAGTCACCATAGAGAAATACTTACCCATCCTCCAATCCTGGATTTCAGCAATCCCCTCTGCTGGTGCAGTGGTCTAGTGGAGGGGTGCAATGGCGAGCAATGGCGAACCGGTCTAGCCCAATGGGGGATTGGAGGACCAGTAAGTATTTATTTGTTAATACTGCCCATGGAGGGGGGATATCAAGCATTTAACTCTTGCAGTACAGGAGCAGTTGTTTTGTCTAAACTAAAACTTTAGCATTGGGGTTTTAATTGCAGCATTGTCACTTTGAAATAAATAAGTTGATTTTGTGTTGCAGTTTGGGCACTCGGGCTCAAAAAAGGTTCACCATCACTGCACTAGGCACTCAGAGGCAGCCACTGCCCTCAAGCAGCAGATTTTGCAGTACCTGTGTATTTTTGCCATCTATCCATGGCATAGATCCACATGAATTTTAATCTACGCACATCTCCAAATCATTGCCTCTTTCCATTTCCTTGGGTGTGGCACTGGCGTGAGAGGTTCGACTGGAAGCTTCTTCGAAGTGGCATATTTTTTCCCCACTTGTACTCTGCAAGGAGCTGTCCATGGAGTGCTCATGGTGTTGATGATGAAGATCAGGCTTGCCAGGTCTCAGAGAATGACCTGCTGTGCCAGGAAATGGCTGGGCTCCCCTGAATCTCCAGGCCAGGCAAACAAATGTGAAGAGCAGTGGTGGAAGAGAAGGAGCGAGTCTCGTTTATTGTTATGGGGTGGCCATAGTGTTTGGGTACCCAACTACAACCGTCTCTGAATGGCACCAGAGCTCATTGGTTTCCTGTGTCTGTCCAACATGACACATAATATACTTGCTTAGGAGCTCAGACAGGGAACCCACAATGCCTAGCTCACTCCCTCACACATGCATGGAGAAATATGTTCCCAATTCCTGTGACATCACAAGGCCCCACACCATGACTTCACAAAGACCCACCCCAGGCATCAGGCCCCAGATATAATGAGGGGTGGGGAAGATAATCCCGTGACAGCCCCTGACAAACAAGACAACACTTTGAAACCGTATCGGAAAATTCTTTTATTGGTTTTGGAAAAGAGGCTAAATGGGTATCCTCAGCAGAGACAATGGCCTGGTTCAGCTCCAGCAGGATGTTTGTCTTCTGGTCCCTCGAATCAGCCTGGGGAAGAGGATGCATCAGGCCCTGCAAGAGAAAGAGAGAGAAAAACAACTAAGGGACGAGCTTGTCCACTGCCATCAACCGGGTTCACCCCAGACGTATCCACCAACCAATGTTCTGGCAACTTCATCACGAAGTTCCACCTGCCAACATCCACTGGCTTCCACCAGGAATATCCCCCCATTCATCTCTTCCCCTCAGCTTCTGAAGCCAGCCTCCGCCAGCTCCCAAATGCTTGGGTCACACACATGCCCTGGTGACATCCCCATGGAATGCCAGCCAGCCCATTTACACCAGCCACTCCCGACACACACATACCTTCCCTCCACCAGCCATTCACACACACGCCCGGGCTTCCATCCACCGATATCCACCAAGCTTCCGCCAGCTGGTTTCAGGAGGCTAATGTCCCCCGGCTTCATCCGCCAACCTCTGGTGGCCTCTGCCTTGCAGCCTCAGTCAGCTTCGGCAGGAAGATTCTACCAGTTTCTGTCTGCCAACATCCACCAACTTCCCCCTGGTCCATCACCGACATCAGCCAGCTTCAAGCCACAGATCTCTGCCAGCCTCGAGCTGTTAACTCGCAAGCCCACTTAGCAAGTTCATCTGCTTTTGCAAGAGAACTTGCTTTGGGCAGAAGGGCTGGGTCCCCTGCAGCCACTGCCACTCTCTCTGCCGGACTGCCCTCTGGCCACTGGCCTC